GGGTTCAGTACCCACTAGCCTTCAGCAATGGGTTCAGTACCCACTAGCCTTCAGCAATGGGTTCAGTGCCCACTAGCCTTCAGCAATGGATTCAGTGTCCACTAGCCTTCAGCAATGTGTTCAGTACCCGCTAGCCCTCAGCAATGGGTTCAGTGCCCATTAGCCTTCAGCAATGGGTTCAGTACCCACTAGCCTTCAGCAATGGGTTCAGTGCCCACTAGCCTTCAGCAATGGGTTCAGTGCCCATTAGCCTTCAGCAATGGGTTCAGTGCCCACTAGCCACAAACAATGGGTTAAGTACCCACTAGCCTTCAGCAATAGGTTCAGTACCCACTAGCCGTCAGCAATGGGTTCAGTGCCCACTAGGCTTCAGCAATGGGTTCAGTGCCCATTAGCCTTCAGCAATGGGTTCAGTGCCCATTAGCCTTCAGCAATGGGTTCAGTGCCCACTAGCCACAAACAATGGGTTAAGTATCCACTAACCTTCAGCAATAGGTTCAGTGCCCACTAGCCTTCAGCAATGGGTTCAGTGCCCACTAGCCTTCAGCAATGGGTTCAGTGCCCACTAGCCTTCAACAATGGGTTCAGTGCCCACTAGCCTTCAGCAATGGGTTCAGTGCCCACTAGCCACAAACAATGGGTTAAGTACCCACTAGCCTTCTGCAATGGGAATGGTAACCTCTGACCTTCATTAATGGGTTCAGTTCCCACCAACCATCCTCGATGGGTTCAGTTCCCATCAGCCTTCAGCAATAGGTTTAGTCCCCACTCTGATGATTTTAAATTGGACAGCTTACAATCATTGGGAAATAATTACTGCAAAATGTAAATATTTAACAAACAAAAAGCTAGACATAAATACGAAAAATTTGAAATAAAAGTTTGTCTCCATCTAGGTCACCTTAACAAGAACATGCTAGAAATGTAAGTTAGTAAAAAGATCTATCATAATAGTACATTAAGGAACAATGTTAATCTAATAGGTTCTGAGTATACTAGAATATAGCATACTTATCACCTGATCATGTCACATGATTTAAACACAAAAGGGTCAAAGGTCAGGCAAGAGATAAATCAATGATTTTTGTGTCAATCAGAGATATTTACTTTTAATTTCATTGTAGCCATAGTAACATGATGGGACAAGTTATGCAATATTTTATGAAAAGAAAAAATATTTGGAGAATATCAAAGTATTAGTTTATAAAAAGAGTATTTCTAAATCTATCTGCATGCTAATGACCCGGCTTACTTACCAGCTGCAGACAGTAAAGAAACAACCAACAAACAAACAAATGTCATTCAAAAAGAAGCCTAAATGTATCTGTTGACTACAGTGTTCAGACTAATCTGAGAAAATCATTTAATATTCAGAATTGTCATTGACTGTAACGTTTATATGTGCACAATAAGTTTGTGGGGAAAAAAATCTCCAGGTTCCTGCTGAACAATTATATAAAATATTTTGTCAACTTTTGGTAAAAAACCAAAATTTGGACAAAAAAAAGAAAAATGGTAGAATATTTGGCACAAATATTTGGCTCAAACATTTTTGTTTCCCATCAAATTATTATACATACTTTTATGTACCAATTAGAATTAAACAGACAATACTGAACTAATAAAATTATGTCATAAATGACTTTTTCCAAACGGCAAATGACTTTTTCCAAACGGCAAATGGATTTTCCGCAATAAGCCAGTCCACTGTTAACAGTTTATTTTTTTGTATTTCATGCAAGATGCATTTTCAGTAAGCTAGCGTCTGTGAATGACTTCGCAAAAATCTAATGATTCATAGAAATTCACTTTGTACAATTAAAGATACTGATCCTGACAGTACTATTCATGTGTCATGTTGTTGTTTTTTCTTATTTTTGAGGAACAGGTAGGGAAGTATGGAACAAGTTTTCCATGGAAGGACTAATGAACATTATTTTGCAGCAAACAACAATAGATTAGAACATGATTACTGACTTTAAATGCATTATGATATAAATAACTCGTGAAAGGGTCTTGGTCTAGCGTTGCTCAGTGTAAACTTAACCAATCAAATCAGTAACGAAAAAAAGTGTATAATTCACAAACAATGACAACAGACATAATCTCTAATCACACAAAGTGTAATTTCTTGTTTTTTTGATCTACAGACATTCCTAATACATTGTACATTCTAATTGGATTAACATGCACACAAACATATGAAATATCAACTTCAGCTCTACAAGACCAGTCTTGAAAATGTGTAAAAACCCAAAAATTAGAAAGAATTTTTTTTTTAGAGCAGTGCTGTGTTTATCACTACTGCAATTATGGCCAGAACCAGCAACCACAACTGTTCTCGCGTAAATTGTTGGAGCAATATTTTTCTACATATTGTTATAATTTCTCAGTTAATTTTTAACCAAATGAACATAATTTCCCATTGCCTGATTGTCTCAACCTTATTTGTTGCAAAATATTAAAAAAATTGATACATTTTTGGTTGTTTTTGAGCGAGAAGTGGTGAAAGACGGGTTTAAATTACTCTCTGCAAATTATTGTTTTAAGACATCTCGAGTATGATGAAACAAGCAAAAAATTGAATAAAGTTGAAATTCAATGAAGTTGAAATTCAATGAAACAAATCTACTAAAATTAGTTGAATTAATTTTTCCAAGAAGCAAATATTCTACAAGCATGGGTGTATAAAGCTGTATTGGGAGAAATTACATTTACTACAATTCAAGATTAAGGTATAGCAGAAAGTACAATATTAGACTCGGAAATATACTAAAAATGAACAATTTATGGGAAAAAAAAACTACAAAGAGCACACCTTGTGGCAAGATCAAAGAAAATTGGGGGAGGGCCGAATACTATGATAATATAAAAATTAATAAGAATCAACAGCCAGAGAGAGGTTGATGAGATAAGATGAAATGAAAATGATTATGATAATGATTTGCCTTATATGGTAATAGAATGGAAACTGAATAATTCTATGGTAGTGAAATTACTGCTACTGAAACAAAAGTAAAACGACTTAAAAAAAAGCCGCTATAAAAAAAAAAAAAAATCACCACACAAGAACGGAAGCTCTGACCTTGGCTTTGACTTTTGTTCTGTATAAAGCCCACTAAAGAGAGAGAATTAGGGAGAGAAAAAGAAAAAAATACACAAAGGAAATGGTTTGGTTTGGATTATTACCGTGTTTGCAGATTTAATTTTATCGTGTATTGCATGCAAATGTGATGTTAAAAATGCGGCATTACTGAGAGAATGAGATGAGGACAATATTCAAGCTGATGTGAAACCATAACATTCCATTTTGTGAGTGCTATTGTCAGGAAAAATAAACAATTTCAAGATGCAATGCATTGCTATGACAATAGTAAAATTGAATCCTGCTGAGAAGTTTACTAGATTCCACAAAAGAAAAAGATTTTAGATCCTTGAAATCAAAAATCACCACTATCACTTTTGGATGATTTATTAAAATAAATACCAATGAGAAAAATCTGTTGTGATGGAACAAAAACAAAATGGTCGCCTCTAATACACTATTATGGACACCATAGAAATAATGATGGCCACCACCATTTTCTAACTTCTGTTTGTAAGTAGCAGGCATGGTCATTTAAAGTACAAACAATGACTTCCACAAAATGATTCTAAAATAATCAAGTAGTCAAATTACAATTCATTCTGCATTTCAGATTTGAAGCGGTTGTCAGGGTTATACATTGAAAATAAGCATAATTGGGCATTCTGGAAAAGTTTTCAAGCAATCATATTTTTAATACATGTACCAACCAAATCCTCACTTATGGGAATTTTATTCAACCATGAACTTCTCAGCAGATTTTTAAGGTTTTAGCCATGCTAAAAAAGGAACAAGGTGATTGTCATGGTAACAGAACTATATTTTACTAATCATCTAACATGCTCTATATTGTGTTCTATTTTAGCACAACAAATATATCTTTTGATGATGTTGAAATTTCTGTCATGTGACCATTTCCATCCAATCAAATCATCCCCATAGTCATATGATCTCAGTCCACCAATAGTAAAGCCATACAATCATATGACCACTATCTACCAATCATATCACTGCCGGTAGATTTACATTTGTTTGTATTACATGTACATGCATTTCCTGTTTTCTTTAAACATGTTGTTTTCTGCATCCAGTAAGTCCATGCTGACAATAGCATGCAACAAGATTTAACCCTTTCAGTGCTATTGTCAATTTTGGCATCATCTACAAAATTATTTTATATAGTCTGCTTCTCAAACATTAAATGTTGATAAAAATTGACAAATTTGATCAAAAACTAAAAGCAAAATCTGAACTAAAATAATAATGAAATTCAATGTAAATTTTAAAAATTTTAATATATGCAATAAATTTTGAGTGGGAAATATATCTTGCACCCAAAGGGTTAAATTCCATATTTATTTTGAGGTCGGTTTTCCATGCCACAAAGTGCTCTTCATCTCAAGGCCATACCAGATGAAAATAAAATAAAAATAACTAACTTCGTTCATAAATTCAGGAAAAAAATGCATATTTTTCCATTTCTGTCCACATGCAATTTTATTTTAGACTCATTATAGTAACAGACTATTCATGACAATCCTTATTTGGTTATAGGGAACGGGATTTTTTGGGAAAAAAAAATCATAAAACTTAAAAAGCAGAAACATTTATAATTTTCTCGCTACAAATTTCTCCATGCAAAAAAAAAAAAATAATTTTATGAACATGGACAGAAATGAGAGTGCAAAAACCTAGACTAAAAATTCTTCTGGTCATTCTAAAACTAACTAATCTTTTGCAATGTACATGTAGATATCTTTCCTGTAAATGAATGGAATAACCCATGGATCAAACCATTAACTTGTAGGGTTGAATTCTGTACTCCAATGTAACTTCGTTATTTGGCTGATTGAAAAAAAAAAAGTAACAATTGGAAACGTTTTTCTGCAAACAAAAAAACAGAAATGATACTTACTTGAAAAATTCCGTGTTGCTAGCATGGTGGTAAGAATAGCCCCCTAGTGGAAAAAAAAAATAAAATACATAAATGTTAGTAAGCGTTTTTTTTTTTTTTTGGACTTAATTTAAATAGAAATGAGGCATAGCTAAGAATAAATAAGATGAGTCACTTAGTGATGTGTCTTCAATTCAAGACAATTCCAGAATGTCGTTACATACGATGCAAGCGTCTCATGTCAGCACTGACTTGAGTTGTTTTCACGTCTCCAAATTGTAATCTTTAAAACTAGATCTCCCGTATGCAAGCAAAATGACAGCTAATTAATAATCTGGTTTCTTTGTCCAAATGATTTCGAAGAATGACATTTCGATCAAGAATGAGTCAACTTCACTGGCAAAGGTCACCAAAACGATGGGAACGTGACCACACACGTCATTTGTGGTTACGCTTATATTCTCTTGGAGTTGGGGGTCAGAGCCGATACTGAGGTGCAGTTAGAGTCAGAATGAATCAAGTCTGACTCGTGAAGTTGATTGACATATGACGTGAAACCACACCTAGGAGTTACCTACTGGATGGTTGGTTTTGATCTCTACTGCAAAGTAAGACGCTGAACACAATATTTGTCAATGTGCGTTATTTATAGATGAGCAAAAATAATATATTCTGATGACATCAATTATTGGAATTTGTATAAGGTTTCAGTTTCATTTCATAGATTGAATTATTAATGATTGACATTTCTTATCTTATGTAAATGAAACTTATTTTCATAACTCGGGGGAGGATACAGTAACACAACCCGGGGTCACCAAGGTATACATGTACAATGTAAGATGGCTGATCAGTCATTGCATACCAGATTCATAAAAGTATAAATTGAAAGGTAGCAATACAGCCATCTTAAGGTAGAAGCCTAGTCATAATTTTTGACAAAATTGGTCATAAATCGCATGACAATGTTCATTAGTTTATTATGTACAATCATGAAGCTAATGTCCCATGGTACAATGAAATAGCATTATTTTGTGTGTTACAGTTATGCTTTTTGAGAAACATGTTCAATTAAACAATTTCTTCAAGAAACTATGATAGAATATAGAAGTATGCAATCTTTGATCAAAACATATGAACAACACATTAATATTTCAGAAATCAGCAAATATGCCTCAAGAAGGAATATCACTAAAGAGCATTATCAAACTGTTGTCATGACAACTTGATGATGCCTATCTCAAATTTGAAAGTACTATGAATCTGTGTCTGCTTTCTTACAACCTTAGAAGCTGATTTACAGGTAAATATAGTTCATCCAGAGTGAAGTAGTGCATCCAGGGTAAGGCAGTGAATCCAGGGTAAGGCAGTGAATCTAGGGTGAGGCAGTGAATCCAGGGTGAGGTAGTGAGAATCCAGGGTGAGGCAGTGAATCCAGGGTGAGGCAGTGAATCCAGGGTGAGGCAGTGAATCCAGGGTAAGGCAGTGAATCCAGGGTAAGGCAGTGAATCCAGGGTAAGGCAGTGAATCCAGGGTGAGGCAGTGAATCCAGGGTGAGGCAGTGAATCCAGGGCGAGGCAGTGAATCCAGGGCGAGGCAGTGTATCCAGGGTAAGGCAGTGAATCCAGGGTGAGGCAGTGAATCCAGGGTGAGGCAGCGAATCCAGGGTGAGGTAGTGAATCCAGGGTGAGGTAGTGAATCCAAGGTGAGGTAGTGAATCCAGGGTGAGGTAGTGAATCCAGGGTGAGGTAATGCATTGAGGGTCAGGTAGTGAATCAAGGGTGAGGTAGTGCATTCATGGTGAGGTAGTGCATCCATGGTGAGGTAGTGCATCCAGGGTGAAATAGTGCATCCAGGGTGAAATAGTGCATCCAGGGTGAAATAGTGCATCCAGGGTGAAATAGTGCATTCATGGTGAGGTAGTGCATCCATGGTGAAGTAGTGCATCCAGGGTGAAATAGTGCATCCAGGGTGAAATAGTGCATCCAGGGTGAAATAGTGCATCCAGGGTGAAATAGTGCATTCATGGTGAGGTAGTGCATCCATGGTGAAGTAGTGCATCCAGGGTGAAATAGTGCATCCAGGGTGAAATAGTGCATTCATGGTGAGGTAGTGCATCCATGGTGAGGTAGTGCATCCATGGTGAAGTAGTGCATCCAGGGTGAAGTAGTGCATCCAGGGTGAAGTAGTGCATCCAGGGTGAAATAGTGCATCCAGGGTGAAATAGTGCATCCAGGGTGAAATAGTGCATCCAGGGTGAAATAGTGCATCCAGGGTGAAATAGTGCATCCAGGGTGAAATAGTGCATCCAGGGTGAAATAGTGCATCCAGGGTGAAATAGTGCATCCAGGGTGAAATAGTGCATCCAGGGTGAAGTAATGCATTCAGAGTGATGTAGTGCGACCAGGGTGAGGCAGTGAATCCAGGGTGAGGCAGTGCATCAAGGGTCAGGCAGTGCATCTAGGGTCAGGTAGTGCATCCAGGGTCAGGTAGTGCATCCAGGGTCAGG